AAATATTCATTTATCTTGAATACAAGTCGAGATATTAGCAAAAGAAGGAGGTCAGGGTCACCTGTTTTCTTGAATAGAAGTTGAATAGATGCGATTGAAGGAGGTGGGGTTACTTGGTTTAAGAGATATCACAAGCAAGAAAATGGCCTCTAAAGTTTGGTGACTTCCAAAGCTTTATAGAGTCCTTGGAAACTGCAAATGTACACCTTTTGTACCTTTGGTTAACGTTTTTCAGTAAAAATGCCTACAGAAATGTTTTTTGATAGGGTCTTAAAAGTTGTTGAGATTTTTAAAAAATATATTATTCCATAAAAATTGTCAAACAGGCAGACAAATGTATGTTTCGGCGATTTCTCTATTTTGACCAGCGGCCACTTTCACCACCATACCTCCTAAATCACATTGAACACTCACGTGCCCAACCAGGTCTGTCCCAGGAGACGTAGCTACGTGTTTTCCTTTTACAAACGAACATAGACACTTGGTGATGCACATGTGTATATCATGATTCTGTATTATTGTCTTGATACTAATTGATGGATAGACAAAAGGAAATTGCTGAAAATGCTATGTTCAGAGGGAAAAACGAAACAGCTTTTTGCTGTTCCAGTGATGGGTGAGTAGTGTCAACCTTAAACCAGAGATAAGAGAAGTTGCTTGTGACTGATTACTGTTCTCCGATTTCACTGACGATCCCTTTTTTCAACTATTTTGTTCTTTTTCTTCATTTGATGATGTCCTTATGTTGAATTTTGCATTTGCTTATCAAACTTTTAAACTTTTGCCCCGGAAAAAGAAATGTGACAGCCGCAAAGGTACAATCCATGTAATTTTTTAAAGAAAAATTTGTGACAGCTTAATTAAACCTTACGCTGAGTGGAAATTATATTTCAGGAAAGGAAAAAAAATTGAACCCTGCTGAAATCTGAGCCTCAGATTTCTGTATATCAGTCAAACTTGTGACCAACTGTGTCACAAGTGTATACACTGTTTCAAATTCCAACATGAGACAAACTTATAGTAATACTTTCTAGATCTTATTTATTTCTTAAGGATCTTGAACATACAAATGCATTAATTCTTCACAGTCAAAATTCATTTTCCCCACTCCTCCTGCTCAAAGCAAGTTGCCTTGTGTGAAGCCTGGTGGATGTCATGTGATGGTGTACACCACACCAGATCAGAACGGGAACTGGTGAGTGACTAGCCTACGTTATTCAAGATTTGTTTTCTTGAATTGTTGAAGAAGAGAAAGTTAGATTATATTTTCTCCCTGAGTAAGTTATTGAGAGGATCTTTCAAAAAGGCTTCCTTAAAGTCGAAGGAAAAATGATGTTATGGTAAAAAAATGCAGCCATGAATATCATGTCATGGAGGGGGGGGGGGTATTTTAAGTTATCAAAATTGTATCTACATGTAAGCCTACTATTATATAAGACGTGTAGCTGTATGGAGCTGAAATAAAAGCATGATCATAATGTAATCATTTCCTGGGTATAAGTTATGTTCATAATTTTTTATCAAACATTTTTTGTGCAATATCTAGCCTGAAAAAAGGTTGTCTTTCGCTTCTAATTTTTGTTTTGCCCTTTTAAAGTACGTATAAAATTTAATTTTTCAGACATTAAAACAATTTAACTCCTAATCTTCTTTATGAATAGAATGGCAGGGTAAAAAGCATGTCTTCTCATATGTAATACAAAAATCTTAATCATCCTAAAGATTTATTTCTGTCGTGTTTTGTAGTTCAAATCTGACTGCCTTGCCTGACAAAGATGTCTACATTTTCAACACTACTCAGATACAGCCAAATGTTTGTCAGACAGATGTTCTCATTCTACCCAACAACTCTGTGTGTCTTCAGGCTGGGTAAGTGCAAATTTTGATTTGATTGGTCCTGAAGCTACCAGTCCATATGATACATTTTTCTGCTAGGACTTTCAATGCTTGTTGCCCCCCAAAAAGAAAAGAGAGAGTTGTTGTTACTATTTTTTGGTCAAGTTTTCCACTCCACCTGATAGGATAAAGATATTTTTTTCAAAATTGTTTCCCATTCACCTCTTACTTACTTGACTTTACTTTTATCCGCCACTTATACCCTTTTGGGTGTCGCGGGAAGAAAGAGACGTCTCTCTGTCGCCCGCCGGAGAGCTTGGGTCAGGGGGATGCCGTGGGTGGTTAATGTTTCCCTGACTCCATCTATCCAGTTCTTTCTTGGTCGCCCTCTAGCCTTGTTGCCATCGAATTCATTTTGTGTTTTTAGCAATAGATAATCCGCTCCCGACTTGCTAGGCCTGTCACAGTTTCACCAGAGCCCCGTTGGCCTGCAACTTTTCGGGGTAACCCGGGTTCTCCTTCACGGCTAGCGTGACGCCTCAGTGGCATAAAGCTACATCGTACTTCGTTGAACCCAGCAATCCCCTACTTTGTCCAGTTTCCACCTCCCGGGACGTGGACCTCAATGGGTTAAAAGGAAGGACATTAACAATTGGACGCTGCTTAAATTCGAATCTTGAACTTTCATGTAGCATTTAGTTGATAACCTACTGCGCCACTGTACAAAGCTCTTGTCAGTTCTTTGCCGGAGGAGTTTTGTTCATCGTTGGACTGGACTGTTTTCCAGTTCCTAGAAAAACATTTATAGCAGAGAAAAAAAAGTTCCCATGAGTTCAAAAGCAAATTAGTGAAAGTTTTGAGTTTGCCATCAAAAGAATAGAAACAAAAATTGAAAGGAAATTCATATAATGAACAAAATACATGAAGGTACATAATATTATTGTGAAAAAAATAGTTATCCGTCATGGAAAATGAGATCATAAACAGATCAAATAAATTTCATCAAAATTTTCTACTCATTTAAAGATTACTGCCATCTCTTCAGCAGCAAATTGAATATTCTTTGCATTAGAGCAAAGAACATAAAAAACTGCACTAGTTGTAGAGTTATCCAAATGGATATAACTTGTAAAAGAACGTTGTACTTCTTTGTATTACTATTACAGCCTTCATTCCTGACTTAGATTTCAGTTATCTAATTTTTTAAAAATGTATTCTATTGATTGTGCTTTCAGTTAATGTCTGTTTTTTTATTTTTATCTTGTTTAGGCTTCATGACTCTCGCTGCTTTAATGTGCCGCTTGCTCCAATGACTGGTAAGCATCTGCTGATTTCTGGGAGGTTTTAACCTCCCTCTTTAATTTTTAACTTTGCTGTTTTCAGACATTACTAAAATAGAGATGAGGAAAGAAACAGCAGAATTACAGTTACCACTTGATCCCTCTGTCTTGGGGCATGTCTGATGGCGTAGGCCTACCTAATGCATTATGTTCTTATTTTGCAGATATGAGTATGTTGAGCATCAGTATCTCTGACTTTGCAATGTGTAGAGAGTAAAACAGAACAAGAAAGAGATAGTGTGCATGTGTGTGTGTGTTTGTGGAAGAGAAAGCCGGGGGGGGGAAGGAGGAGAGAGAGCGAGAGAGAGGGAGAGAGAGAGAGAGAGAGAGAGAGTTGAATGATGATGCTTTCAGCTGCAGTTACATCTTTGGGCGTGAATATTGTAAAATGCTTAATTAAGTCGCATCAGGTCAGAATTGTAATCATCATTACCAGTGAAGAATCAATGGAAGATATATTTTTTTCAATTGTCGAATTTATTCACAATTTTCTGTGTTTTTGCTGGAATGTTAAAAAGTACAGGAGAGACAGAGAAGAAGGTAGATAAGCCACACAGATCAAACATTTTACTTTAGGAAGTATTTTATAGATTTCATTAATGCTGAATCTGAGAGTTGCAATATGACTAAAAACGTTCTTTGCAGGAGACAAAACCTGCCTGATGTGTGTCTCCATGTTTCAATTATTTGATATGATTTAACCCTATCCGTGCGTCGTGTTTTATTATCGTATCCATACGACGTGGGGAACTCAGTGCCACAACTTTTAAAGAGGAAATTTTCTCGTTAATCCGATCCGTACGCTTTGCATAGCAGTCTGTCAAAATGATTTTTGGAGAAATACTGAAAGTTTCAAAAAGATTTTCGTACTAGAAGTATTTTAAAATGTGAAGAATACAACCCCGGGGGTACAAAGTAACCCCAGTTCGTACGAATAGGGTTAAGAGCTGTTTTTTGCTCCTCTTTTGCTTTGATTATGATGTTTTGTCGTTCTACTAGAGAAGTGGTGCTTGCATCCAGTACTAAGTGTGATGGAATTTAGAACAAAAACAGTTTGCAAAAATCCCCCCAAATGCAATGAATAGATGGATTAAGCTCATGCATGTATTTTTGTAGTTTTCTCATGGACAATCAGATAATTTCTCTGGAATGGTAAGTTCCTTTTACTTCTTTTCCATGTAATTGCTTTTGTAGGCCTACTGTTCTGATCTATTCCTAGCTCACCAAGATCGTTATCATGCTGCCCTACTGTCATAGACTACAATTCCATTAATGCAAAGACTTACTTTTGACAAACATGTTCTAATATGGAATTCACAACTCACATAATTAGTACTTCATTGCTGTTGACAATTCTGACCATATGGTATAATGCAAGGGAACACGTCATAACATTTAAGAAGAACCCAGAGAATGTTCATAGTGAGAAGATGGAGTTACTGCAGAACATGGTTTAAAAAAAATTGTTTTTCAAATAATACATTCATTCTGTCACCCAGGTATATTTCTATATTTGAGAGTTATCTGACCTGGTTTTTACTTTCCCAAGTTCTTATCTGAAAGTCTGTGAGAACATCTTTTTCGAAAATAAAATAAAACCTTTTAAAGTATTTTTCTACTTATCATTCATGATCGGAGGATGAAGGAGAGAACCCCCCCCCCCTCCATATACAATATATATAAATTTTTTAAAAATAATAAATAAATAAAATTGGCCAGATCGCATAATTCATTGAGTCGCTCATATCCAAAGCTGAATTCTGTTAGGGTGCTTAGATATTGGTTCCATTATCTTTTAAGGCATAAGTATATCGTATTCTACCCTTTTTTAACTACCACAAATGAAAACAATACATCATCAGTCCAGCAGATGTGCCAAAATGTCCCATGTGGACTGCAACAAAACAGAGGGGCATGTCTAGCCAGTGGACTTACAGGCAGTCACGCTCGGTGTGTGTGTGCTCAGGGCTATATCCCTCCAGACTGCCATTTTGGTGAGTGGAGTTAGTGAAGTAGCTGTTTTTGTTCACTCTTTAAGGACGAAGTGGCCACACATGTCCGATCAACAGTAGACCAAAGGCAAAGATGTGGCTTAGTTCGAATTATTACACACAATTTATCAATATGAATTTCCATATTTCAAAGTGTGCACGTCATTGATTGCCTTTTAAAGTTTCTGTTAAAGAAACAGAATTACAACATTGCATGAATAAAGAAGCTATACTTCAAATGACCAGAGTGTGCGTCCTCAAAGAGTTAACAATCTTGTGACCTATGATCTGTTACTTACTTCTGAACTGTAGAAGGTTGGGATCTTTTTAAGCTGTTCTCTGCTGGCTGGAAGTTGTCATTGTTGAAATTGACTGAAAGAAATAGTGCTCATTCTCTTGGAGGTTAGAGCTTTGAAAGAGCAGATGTTGAATGGTTTCATAAGGTTGATCATAATATTCATTCTATAACAAGCACATCTATTCTAAAGTATGCACCAAAAGAACGCTTGCTCGCGATAAAGGGAGCGCTTGTGAAGAAAGCGCCTGCTTGTAGTTGAGGTGAACAAATAGAAAGATTGCAAATCGCGCTTGCGACAGATCAGAACTTAGGCATTTGGGGCCATAGAGGATTCGAGTGAAGACGAACTATTGTTGCTGTACAGTGTTTCGTCGAAAAGTGTCCTAGGAAAACGCAAAAGAATGGGAGTTCAGGAGATAAATAAAAGGAGGCGAGTGGAAGGTGAATATCACCACTTGTTTCCTTTACTTAAAAGGAGCCCTCCACGTTTTCATCCCTACCTGAGAATGAGCCAAGAGACATTGAAGTATATCTTATTAAAAAATTGAACCAAAGATAACCAAGAACTGGTGTAACTGGCAATTCTTCGCTTATATCTATCCAAGAACGTTTCACAACATTGCAGTTTGCTTGGTCTTTGCTTCTTTTGTCCCATATTGCATGTTTTTTAAACACAGCTGATATCAAAGACTCGACATCTATTTCGGTCCGATTGTCACTGAGAGAAAATGTACTCTGCACTACCCAAGTCATGACCAGACAACAAAGGGTGGTGGCACCAAGTACACGCTTGTTCTAGAGAAAGAATTAACTTTTCAAGCTTCAATCTTCGCTTGAAATCTCAGGCGCGAAAAAGCGAGCGTGCTTCTTGTGCGCAACAAGCAAATTTTGAACATTTCAAGCGCTTGTCCCAACGCGCTCGCTTTTATCGCGAGCAAGCGTTCTCTTGTGCTCTCCTACGGGTAGTTGAGAGGAGCTTAATAACGTTTTATTTTCTGGGATAATAATGTTGTATAGTCTGTATTCTCAAGGTGCCTTTCTACCTGGGAGGTTAGAAAAAAAATCTCATAATTTTTTTCCTAAAAGTAATATTTCTTTTGCAATGATTAACATGTTAATATGTTACATTGAACTCTTCTATCTTTCAATTTAAAACATATCCAGACATCATTACTGGTTGCTGCAGTGTGATGCCTGTTGGTTTGCTGAAGTGCATTTCTTTACTATCACTGCAAAGGTTTTTGCCTCATGACTATTATTATGTTAGTAGCATTCCCCTATGTCCTGCCTTTGGGGCTAAAGTGGTGGGATCAGTATTATAGCCTAGTGGATAGGCTCCTGAACTTGTAAGCATGAGGTTACAGGTTTGATAAATCAAGGTTCATCTCAGCCCAACATCGTGTCCATGGGAAAGGCACTTTACATTAATTTTCCTCACTTCACCCAGGAGTAATGGGTACCCAGGAGTACGCCACCGGTAGGTCCTACTTGTTTTCTTTTCCTCTGCTGTTTCTATCTGTCCGTCTTACTTTTTCTCATCACTAAATATGACTATTATGGTGTTGTTGGTGTGCTTCTCTTTACTCAAACAAACAAAATTGGTCTCTCGATCTTTACCCCTCAGACCCTTGTGTGCCTACTCCCTGTGACCATGGAGGAGTGTGCCAAGGCTCTGCACCATCTTCGTACAAGTGTTTCTGCCCGCTTGGGTTCTCTGGTCAAAGCTGCTCCACAGGTCTGCTCATTTTGTCGCAACTGTTACTTGCTTACTGCTTCATCTAAGGAAGTTGAAGTATTTTAAAGTTGATTAAACGTTGATGTCGATCATTTTTTGTATAACAGCATGGGCCGTGAACACAAGACAACAAGATAAAGAAAAATTAAATCGATTAATACGTAAAGCATGTAAAAGTTCAACATCTACATTCCCCTACTTGGATGAATTGTACATAACAGCTTTCACAAAAAAAAAATTAATTCCATCTTTTTACACAACAAACATCCCTTGTTCCCTCAAATAAAAACATCAGTCAGAAGTAAAAGACCAAGGCTTCTGATCTGTAACAAAGAAAGATATAGAAAGTCATTTTTACCATTTTTTATCAAAATGCTTCCATCTTAACCATTTTGTATATTTATACTTACGACCTTAGAGCATGCATCATTTAACATTGAGTGTGTATATCTTAAGATTATTATTGTTTATATTGCTGTTCATTTATATTATGCATGTGATTGTAAGCCTACGTGTGTGTGCATGTGTGTGTGTGTGTGTGTGTGTGTGTGTGTGTGTGTGTGTGTGTGTGTGTGTGTGTGTGTGTGTGTGTACACGTGGTGAAACACCAAACCAATGTGCCAGAATCTGGACAATAAAGGTGTATCTTATCATATCTTATCTTCATTACATGTGATTTTAAAGTAGCCTGTATTCTACATTTTAAGCATATTATGCTGAACTTCATCATCGCTCTTTTAATTTAGTTTTTTCATTTAAAAAATTGATGTTCAATGTAACCAAATTGCATTTTTTTCAGTGGACCCAGACCCTCAGCTTACTAAGGTGCGTATAAGTACGGAAACCTACAGGCATGAAATAAAACACATCATTTTATTGCTGTTGTATTATACTATGTTCATTAGAGGGATGTTTTAAGGACATCATACATTGTAGATTAAAAAAAAAAAATTTTGGTATCCGGCTTGCTTCAGGTAATTCTTTTTTTTTTTAAAAATATGTATGACAAGCCTTTTGTGCTGATTTTATGAAAGATTCATTTAGATAACTCTAAGGGGAAACATTTCAAAAGTAGAACTGAGTTAAGGTTATTGCTTACATAAAGAAAGTGTGTACGTTTATAGAAAGTAAAGTCCTTTGTGTGAGAGGGCATTTAATTCTTGATTAGCAGAAAATTCATCAGTTAAGGTTTCATGAGAGACCCTACAGTCTCAATGTCCAACAGCTTTCATGAAAAAAAAATGGATTTAAAAAATGGCAAACGACAGGGCACCTATAGAGAATATTACCACCATTAGTATTCAAATGTCATTAAAAAGGTTTTGTTGTGATGACAGATTTTAAGTATGGAGAGACAGGCTGAGTTTATGAGAGGCTAAATGCTTGCACAGTAGGCCTACATTGAAATAGATTTTAGGGTTTTTCCCTGTGAATGCAAGTTTGGTTATTTACTAGGCAAGACTATTTCTTTAATGTTATGATGTAGTCTCCTTCCTGTTATACCCAAAAAATGGGAGTATGATTCCTATGTGGTTAGGTCCATTTACTGATCTTTCTGTTGAGATATTGCATCCTGTTTAGCTTGAGTTGGGCCTGGTGAAATTTAAGCAGCTCACCTGTTAAAAGATCTATCCATGTCGATGAAACCACAAAAAAAGATTTACTATCAATAATAAGAGACATAGCATCTCAGGTAATCTTGGATATAAACTATAATATTAAGTATTCTCCAAATAATCTATGATCAGGACCAGGATTTGAATGTTGTCCACATTTTTTGTTCAGTGCCTTACTTTTTGGCTCAACAGTACCCTTGTTGTCGGGGGCTCTCGTGGTCAAGAGATTAAGGTGTTCGCCTCTCATACAATAGGTCCTGGGGTCGAATCCAGACAATGGTTGCACATTTTCTTCTTTCTCCTCCTTTCCTGCTCTCCTCACAATGTTCTGTCATCTGCTTTCTTCTCCACTTTCTGCCCCCAACCCCTGACCTCCTTTGCCCTCTCCTCTGGGCTCCTTACTCTTTCTGCAGCCTTCCTATTGCCACTCCTTGGCTCTTTCTTACTGCTGTCTTTCAGCCAGACCCCTGATCTTATTGTAAGTAAGATCTAACAAAGGTTTAACACCTAGCCTTCTCGGATAAGGGTAAAAAATCTAGGAGGTCCAGTGTGCAAGTTGGGCACATTAAAAATACCTTGGTGGTCCAAAACCAATGAGAGTAGGCTTCGGCCACCCCCCTGGTAAAATTCCGAATTTCCTACCAACTGAAAATGTTTAACGTGTCCCATGCGCTCATATGACCTTATGCAGCTGTGAGTGCCGTAAAACACTTACCAAATCTTTAAAAATACAAAACCCTTAATGTTGTCAAGGAAGCATTTATTCGTAAATTCAGGATTTTTTTCTCATAGCAATTTTCCGTTTTGTGATATGTCCTTTGCGTATCTGAATTGTGAGTTCAGATTGTGTTGTATTCTTTACTGATGGTGACTGTCTGTCTCTTTTGCAGCATGAGTTTTCACCACAATTGTTTCCACCAAGTGGGTCCACTATCCAGTGTGAAGTTCATAAGCTTTGTGATTTTCCAGTCTACTCAAATGGAAATAAACCTGGGTATAATGATATAAGACAACAGGTTTTATTAATCAAGGGCCATTTTTCACACACACGCACGGACGCACACTCACACACACACATACAGCTTTGCACACACATACATACACCCACACACCGCGCGTACACACACACACACACACACACACACACACACACACACACACACACACACACACACACACAAACGTGAGTCTAAAGCTACTGTTTAGTAATGGATATTTTTATGTGACATAGTAATATACTATTGGATATAATTTAGATAATAGTTTACATATTAATAATCATGTCCATGGATCATACTATAGTCACACCTTGCTGTTATTGTTCTCAAGTATATGGTGGGTCATTGACATTTAGTATGGAAGCCTATTCCACATTTGTACCTAGCCCACTTTGTCATCACAAGTTTCCCTGTAACTCCACTACTGTTTCACTTATTTGCATGTATTTATGTCAAACACAGTAGAAATGAATGTTCCATGCAATAAATATAATATTTGATAATAGATAACATGTGTACTGGATGGGGTTTAGTAGATATTTGTTATGACTGAAAATAACCGAGCCATGCTGTGTGCCACTCAATTAGTGTTGCAAGCAAACGGTACCGACAGCTCGCCAGCTGAACTGGTGCACCATATTATGTGAAGAGCTCTTGAAGTTAGCTTTGTTGGAAATTAAGGAATATTTTTAAAATGTGTTTAAAAATTTAGAAGGCCTATGGATTTTTTAAGATTCCTCATTGCACTATTATTGTTAAGGGTCACTTAATATGTAATCGCTGAAAGAAACTAGATGTCAAATCTTTTGAACTGAATAGGGTGTGATAAACATAAACAGTTCAGCAGTTCAAGAATTCGTCATTTAAAAGGATACTGTGCAAGGTAGGATTTGTTTGTTTGTTATTTTCTTTTCTTTGAAGAATTATTTCTCATTCAACAGATCTGTTCCAAATGTGCGACCAGGACCAAGTGCCCCCGGTGTGGACATTCTAGTAAACCCCACGGAACCAGATAACTCCACATCTCTACCTGGTTTTAATTATGTGACCCAGGTCTCAACAAAATCACCCACACCTGGACAGAAGAGTGTTTGTGTACAGATGGATGACGGAAAGTAAGTCACATTCTTATGTTTATACTGCCCTTTGTTTTGTGGGATGAAAGTCATGATCACACTCGGTAGTATCATGAGATTGCCAACTGCAGTGGCATGGTCTAATAACCCCAGTAATGGTTTGCAATAATATTGTTTATATGCATTATGCTTATATAACATTTCTGAACAAAATTATAGTGAAAATGTGGCCTTTGTAGTGATGTGATGCTTCCATGTCTTTTTCTGAACGTGACTTATATTTTCCTCTATTATTAAGTAGCCTGCAGAAATGAAGAAATCATTGCTTGAAAAAACAATAGTATTATTACCATGCCGTAGGTTTTCTGAACTAATGAGACCAAGAACTCATTGTAGAGAATATGATCAATCTTTCCCTTGGCTAAACTTTACAAACATTTCTTATCACCCTTTAGCCCTTTAGCGACATAGGCTTTTTTTTATTAACCACAACTCTGATTCCCTCTGAAGGTCTAAATTCGGTTAAGGTCCTGCACTTCAGATCGTAATTTACGAAAAAAAATCATACGTGGGCACATCCGATCAACCATGAATGAAAATCTGAGATCATTGAATTGCCCATCGTGTCAAAGATCAACCACTCTTGTGAATGTGATCACATAAGCATTGCAAAGCTTAAAGAAATGGTTCAATGTTTGCCCCACGGGATCACACCGAGGTGTGAACTGATTGACGTGTTTGTTTATCTCACAACATTGCACACACATCTGAGCTCTCCACCTAACCTTACATCATTTACTGGGAGGGTAGGGCCTACACGTTCGCTCCAGGCGAGATCACATCGAATGGTGAACTCTTCATTGACCATGGCAGCAGTAAAATTGTCTCTATTCGCTAATTTGCAAGACACTAAATTTTAATTGGTGTGGTCACAAACACAACATAATGATGCAAAACGACAGGTGGGGGAACTCGGTCGGAGATGGAAAGCTATACATTTTGGATAGATAAGGGGAGGGGAGGGTCAACTGTATAAGCGTAGAATTTGAGACTCACAATAGGATAATAAGTATAAATAGCTTGCCTCATATGCCACTGTGATTGGTCATCAAGGCTGACCACTCTTTTCCTGGCATAATATGGCATACACTCACCCAGAAGTCACGTCAGTTTATTTTAGAGTGGAAGGAGACCATTTTACCGGTTGTGGGCCTTAACATGGGTCACAATAGATTCTACCCTTGGTCTGTCGGCTAAGATCCCGTTTGCCTTAGATCCGGTTCGCCTAAGATCCCACAATTTCATTGCTCTAAGCACCGGGATCTTAGGCGGAGACTACTGTACTACTAAAACCTGTTTGTCTGTCATGTGGCACATGTAAATGTTGAATTTGTTTTTCCATTTAGCGGCAACATGATCTCAAGCTGCTATTCGGTGCTTGTCATAGATCCAGGTACAGCTTTTTTTTCAACCTCATATTTTTTTTAAGCTTATGCAATATGCTTCTCTCATTGTTTACTGTTTACTTAATATGTTCCCTTGAAAATATTGTGCTCTCTTGCTTTTTCATTCACAGTCAAATCTAGGAAGGCCCGATCAGTTCTCAATTGATATCATCCTGTGCATTATTTGTAAGATACATTAACTGCAGTTTTTGCTCGAGTTGAAGTTTTTTCCTTATATCAAAATAGTAAATGTACAGTTTGCATCCAGATTTATGAACATAATGATAGAATATCTTTTCAGTAGCAGACCTCCAGAAATCAGGATGCTCTCTTGCATAGAATTATTAATTACTAAGACAACATTCTTCTTTTTCGTATTTCTGGTTTTCTTATCATTTTCTGAGGAAATATTTGTGTCTTAATGCTGATGCGGCATATTAGCTTCATCTCAACAACATTCTTCCCCAGCTGTATCCAGCACACCACAGCCAGGAGGCGCTGCCAGCCACAACAACCAAAAGGGGGTAAGTGACCTACCAAACATTTGAAATATCACAAAACAGCAAACTCAACGATGAAGAGTTAGATAAAAGATAATGGACTGTATCGGAAAATAGCTTACATTTTGAATATTGCAACTTCTGTTAAAAATTTCGTGGAAGGGAAAGAAATCAATTGAGGTATTGCTGAAAGAAGCTCGCATGGCCTCCTCTCATAAATACAATCA